AGGCCGTCTCCCGCCCGGAGCTGGGGCGGCACTCGGCGCTTGGGCGTCTGATCCGCCCAGGTGGTGTGTTGGGCTGGGGGCTGTCCGGGCCGGCGTCTGGACGGGAGGGGCCCTTGCCCTGCCCGGGAGTTTTCCGTCCGCTTTCCAGCGCCCTGTGTGGGCGAGAGGGGGAGGAAGGAGTTAAGTCCTCAGCCCACATGGCTCCTTTATTTACCATGGTGCGGGAGGGAGGCCATTATAGGAGCGGGGGTCATTAGGGGACACCCTGTGATGTCACCCCGTGAGGGTGCTCCAACCTGACAGGTTTGCCGAAGCCGCCGAAATGGCAAAGTCAAAACGTGGTCCCCCCCCCCACGTCCCACGAGTCAGGGAAGGCCCGAGCCCCCGCTGTGAGTGAGCTAAGTAAGTGAGAAGTCCCCAGCACACCCACCCCCCAGTCTGGCGGGGGTCGTGTCTTCAGGAGTCTGAGCTGCTGGGTGTGTTCCTGGGTGAGCAGGTTAGGGGCCAGGCCCCCAGCTCCCCAAGGCCCTCCCAGCTCAGGAGGCTTGGCATGGCTCTGTCCAGCAGAGCCTGGGTGTCCTGCCAGGGGCAGCGGGCCCAGTTCCTGGTCGGCCGGGGCTGCCCCTCCAGAGGTCTCTCATTTCTCTAGGCATCCTTGGTGGGGAGACGAGGGTGCATCCTGAGCCCCAGGGAACTAGGCTTGCTCTCTGATTCTGCTGTACCCGCTTTCTGGGCCCACGGCCCCCAGGCGGAGCAGTAGGCGAAAACAAAGGCCACGCCGGAGGAGGTGGGAGCCTGAGGGAGGCGGCGGGGGAGTTCCCGGCCTCCCTTCTCAATGCCAGCGTGGCACAGTGAAGAGGACAGTTCCTCACCCCACTAGCTATGTGTCCTTGTAAAGGAGATAACAGAAAGGCTTTCCCGCCCACCCCCACTGCTGGGTGAATGAGGCTGCTAGCAGAAGCCCTCTGTGGGACCCTTCGAGGGCGGAGGAGCCCTCTTGACTGGCAGAGTCTCTGGGGCTGCTTGGGGTCTCACCTGCGAGAGGAAGGGGACCAGCCTTGAGTTCAGCGGTTGTGTCCTGGGCCCCTGCAAAGGCTGCCACGGGTGCAGGCAGGTGCCTAGGTCCCCCACCAGCACTGACCCTGTTTGTTTCCCGCAGTGAACATCTTTCTCACCGGGAGGCTCAGCAGCGCGGTTCCCGCCCTAGGTAAGTACTTCTCTCCGTCCTCCCCTCCTCCAGGCCCTTCTGGGTCAGCAGCCTCTGAGGACAGGCCTTCAGGCTCCTAGCTCCACCTCGAGCTCCCTGGGCCTCTTTCCGTGTGGCCTTGGGCAAGCTTAAACTTCTCTGAGCCTCAGTGTCCTCTCTTGTAAAGTGGGTGGAATAACAGAATCTACCTGGAGGTGAGGGTTCAATGAGCCAATGAGGCGAGACGCTCCGCACAGGGTCTGGCACATGGTGGCTTTATGTCACTGGCCAATGGCCGAGGGTCTGTGCCATTGACACATTGTGCCTCCCATAGGCCGGGGGGTGCCCTGAGGGCCACGAGGTGCCATGAGATGCCCGCCTATTTGAAAACAGCCCCTAGGAATTCATTTATAGAGGTATGGCTGAGGGATGACATGGAGAAGCCCGTGCCAAGAAAGAGAAATTTACGTTCCTTGAGAGGAGGGGGAATGTCCTGCCATTGGTTTGGTCAGGCAGGAGCGGGAGCAGGGAGATGACACAGACCAGAGCCTTCATCTGGGTTTCCACAGAAAAGTCGAGGCAGGGCAGAGTAAACAGTTTAGGATCCGCCGGTTGGAGTAATTCTGGTGGGCCTGGGCTATAGGGGTGGGCTCTGGTTCCCTGGTACCTGGTCCAGGGAAGCTTTAGGGCAGGGGAGTATTGGCTTGCTGTGTGAATTGAGATAAGACGGTGGGTGGGTGGAGGGCATTCTTGAAAGGTGAGCTCCAGGCAAGCTGACTTGCAGGAGAGCCATAAGCACTGTGGCCAACAGTAGATACAGAATCCGAGAAAACACGGCTAGCACCCGCCCCTGCCTCCTGCCTGTCAGCATACTCTGTCCAGCCACCTGCCGTCACTGGGCTCTGGCCTAGTGCCGAGCACCAGAGGCAGGAGCGGGAGGGTGATGGCGCCCATTCATCCTCCATTGCTGCAGGGGATGCCAGGGGCTGGCCAGCAGAGGAGCCAGGCCCCCTCGGCACCACCGAGAAGGTTCTGAGAAGGGCCCCAGGGAGCCTGCTTCTTCATTAGTAAGTCCTGATGAACCTCCCCATCAGCCCTCAGCCAACCCGGAAAAGGTTTTAAAGTAAGCGCAAGTATTTACGTCACGATGTCCGGTCAAGGTGTAGCCAGGGAGAGTGTGCAGTCCCCGGTCTGGGGACCTCTGACTGGTTTGTTGCCTGCTGCCCTGCATGGTGGAGCAGGAGGTACTTGGGGTTTCTAGTTTTGCCCAGGGCCCAACTTGCTGCAGAAACCCACAGAGGCTGGCTCAGGTGTTAGGACCCAGAGCTCTCAGGGGGCAGGACCCCAGCTGGCTTCGGCCACTGGAGCAGGGAGAACCCAGGGCCGCAGAAGCTGTTCCCCTGGCCTGTCTCGAAGACTCAGCCTCGGCTTCCCTCCTGAGTCTCTCTGCTTTCTGCAGCCTCTGACTCGGGCTGGCCCGGGGCCGCGGCTTGCTCAGTGCTGCTCCGGCCCCAGCCCGGCTTGGCATCCCAGCCCCCACAGCTGGTGAACCAGTCTCCCGTCCCAAAGTCTAGGAAAAGACTGACCGGCCAGCCTGGGTCATATATCTGTGGCCGTGGTGGAGAGTCAGGAGGAAGGGGGAACGGGTGTCACAACTTACAAATGTGAACCTCAGGCCAGCCCTCCTGCTGGTGTGACGGGCGGGTGTGTCACCCCAAACATACCTGCCACGTGCATGTACCCCAGGTTTAGAGAAGTGATGCTCCAGGGACGAGGGCCATGCCTAGAGCCAGGGAGAGAAAGATATTGTCTAGGTCCTCACGTCTGCTTGTTCTTGGCTGTCAAGACCTCTGGCAGGGCCCACGCCACCCAGCTCCAGTGACTGCTGTCCACACCATGGCGGCCTCGGCAGTCTGGCCAGAGGTAGTGTTGTGCAGCCCTGGCTCTCCTGGAGTCTAGCTCTGACAACTCTAGCACCGCGCACCAGCTTTAGGCTGCCTGAGGTGCTCCCTTCCACCACAGCTCCATGACTGCATTTTCAGGACTTTTCTTATGGTTAATACCGCGAGGGAGTCTGATCAGGAACTATTCCCCAGCCCCTTCTCAGCCCTCACTGGGCTCAGACACTCCTGAGGGCCTGGCTGGGCTGCCTGGGGACCTCACAGGTTTTTGCCGCTTGCCCCTGCCCAGGTATGTCAGGCACTGACAGGTCAGATGACCCACCTCTGCATCCCTCCCCAGCGTCTGGGCATGGCCACGGTGGCCCCAGTGGGGTGAGCCCGGGCAGGGTCTTCACACCGCTCTCACCTGCAGCTTTCCCAGAGTGCCCGGGTGGGACTCCCCGCGTCCTGCTGCTGGGTGACGGCGGGCGGGTTGTCCAGAGTATTGATCGCCTTTGGAGATGAGATCTGCAGACCGTGCTTTGTGAGGTCTTCCTCATGTCCGCTCAGAAGCGTTTGACCACTCTTTGGGCCAGCAAAGGAAGACACTGGCCTAGAAGTGTCCAGTCATCTCTTGCCCACTTGAGCAGGCCACCTTGGCCTTGAAGGCAGATGCAGTCTCCTGCCAGAGTAAAGGCAGGTCACCCCCAGTGGAAGCTCGGTCAGACGGCCCCAAGCCCCCCCAAGCCCCTCTTGCCTCACTGGTGTCCCCCCAGACACAGAGTTTTCCAGTCTCTCCTCACTGCCCGCCCACCTTTACACAGCCTATCATGACCCTCACCTTCCACAGGCATTCCTGGAGACTGCCCCGCCCCACTGGTATACCCCGCCCGCCTGTCCCTGGCATGTCTGCCCGGAGACTTTCTCAGCGGTTCCTTGGAGACAGGCGAGACACACTGGCTCCATCTCATGACTGGGCAAGCCGAGGCCCAGGGTGGAACCGTGTGTCTGGCTGTGTGGGCCCTGGGACTGGGTTCATGAGACCCTTTCCCTTCTGTGCCTGCCCTGGGGTGGTATACTGGAGTGAGGGTGAGATGTGTCACCGAGAGTGCTGAGAGCTGACTGGCTGAGCTGGCGGCACCCTCCAGGCCCCTGGCCGGGCCGAGCAGTGTTGAGTCGAGAGCCCCCTGCCTGAGGCTCCCAGCTCTCTGTGCAGCCCCTGACCTCCCTGCTGTTCCACACCCCCTCTCCATGCAGCCGGGCCGACAGCCGCATAGCCCGTGGTCTCTGCGGGGCCCTTTGGAGAAGAGCAGATAGCTAACCCGGTGTCAATGCCCTGGTTGCCCCTGTGTGGGAATTTCTGGGGAGAGGTGTTGTCGGGGCTTTGTTGAGAGGCAGCGCTGGCTGGCAGTTGTCCAGTCAGCTGCTGCCGATGTGTGGCTGGTGGTCTGGAGAGAGAGTTCTCCACCCCGAATGGACTGGCCAGACACAGGTCTAGGAGGGAAAAGTGTCTGGCTGAGGCGGGCTGGAAGAAAGTCAGGAGGTGGCACCTGGCATGAGTGTCTTGACAAGATGGGCAGGTCTGTGTCCCCTGGGGGAAGGTCTCTGAGGCTGGGGGAGGGATGGATGGGGCCCTGTCCTCGGGCTGAGCATACGGGTGAACAAGGGGTGGATCCCACCCTGACTTGGGGCCTCCTGATGCAGAGGCCTGAAGCTTTGATTGAACATGTGCCTTAGAGGTATCGAGAGAAGATGTGGCCCCCAGCCTTATGGGGCCCTCCCTTCCTGGGAGCACCCCGTGGGAGGAGAAACCTCTTCTGGGTTTCAGAACCCCACATCTGCCAGGGCAACCCAGACCAGCACCCAGGCTCTCTGCAGCAGAGGGAACCAGGCCAAGGCGGGATGTCTGGGGGTGTTGCACCCTGAGATCCTACCCTGTGAGTTTAGTCCTGACCCTCCTGGGCTGGGAGCAGGGTGCATGGCTCCCAGTTTCTGGGTGAGGACTCTGAGGCCATCTCCCAGGGCCACATGGGTGGGGTTGCCAATTCCCTGTTAGTCACCTGGACTGCCACTGTCATGGCAGGCCCCATGGGGAGGGGTACAGGTGCTTGGACTAACCAGTCCTCTCAGTACCCACACTTATTGGGCACCTACCCTGTGTCAGGCAGTGTGTGGGACCCTGGGCCATGGTGTTGGCCCCAAAGGGAACTCACTTCTGTGGCAGAGGCTGGAGAGGAGAGGAGGGGGCTGAGGACCAGAGCTCTGCTGGGGACAACCTGGGGGACTTCCCTGGGAGGGGACCTTAAAGCTGAGAGTAGACGTTAAGAAGTGAGTGGACAGCCGGGCTCGGCGGCTCAGTCTGTCATCCCGCGCTTTGGGAGGCTGAGGTGAGTGGACTGCCTGAGCCCGCGGGTTCACGACCCGCCTGGGCAACTTGGGAGACCTCATCTCTACAATAAATCAAAAAATCAGCTGGGCATGGTAGCGCGTGCCTGTAGTTCTGGCTACTGGAAGGCTGAGGCAGAAGGATCGCCGGAGCCCAGGAGGTCGAGGCTGCGGTGGCTGGGAGCGGCCACTGTACTCCAGTCTGGGCGACAGAGTGAGACTCCAACTCAAAAAAAAAAAAAAAAAGTGAGTGGACAGGATCCGAGGGTGAGGAGGGCACCTACCAGGGACCTGCAGGAGCAAGTTCTCCTTCCTATGTGAGGGATTGTGGGAGGTCTTTGGGGTTGAGGGGTTTATAGGGGACAGGAGGCAGTGGGGGGCAGGGAGAGGGCTGGGACCACTACAGTGAATTGCGTCTTTGTCCTAGGAGCAGGGGAAGCAGCTGGAGGGCTTTCTCTCTCCCATCTGCAGTCTTGCCGGGAGCCAGAGAAAAGGCTGCTTCCTGGACAGCCGTGGCAGGGGCTGGCAGTGGGAGGACAAAGAGGTGGCATCACTGGGCTTGGAAAAAGGGTCATGCCTTGCATCCCTGAGCCTCGGCTTCTCCATCTGTAAAAGGGGCCTAACTTCGTCACAGGCTATTGTGAGGGTCAGGTAAACCAGTATGGTGAAGGGTCAAGGGGATAGGAAGGGTTCTGGCCAAGCGCGGGGGCCACTGCCCAGACCTGGGAAGGCCAGGGCGCGCCGGGGGGG